GGGGGGGGGGGGGGGGGGGGGGGGGGGGGGGGGGGGGGGGGGGCGCAACAGCTGCGATGATGGACTTGTTCATGAACGACTGGTACTTGATGGTGATACGCTGGTCAATAAAAATCTCACGAGGTGACATTCACAGCAGCCAAATCTTTTCAAATTGGCACGTGCAACACAAAACATGCCGCTGGACTGTAGTCCGCCTGAAGCCAAACTCTTGCACCTACCATCTGCTCGCTGATGAATCGACAGCCGTTCGTGTGAACAACAGGCAGTAGGTTTACAACATGATCTGTGTAGGACAAGTTGAGAGCTGGAAAGTTGTGGCGTGTGATACGCCCAAACAATGATTCCTTTCTTATGCGCGTGTCTCCACGCTCCTCTCCTTGCCACCACACTCACTTTCGCCCATTCGTGTACCCTTCTGTTTCAGTTGGCGTGTCAACCTTTTGCCTTGTTCGACCATGGAGCGCTCGCTTTTTTCGGATGGATGTCAAGATTTGCATCATTATTGTTTGCTCTTGAAAATCAAGTCGTGTCATGTTTTGGTGTACTCTGGTTGGAGCGGAAAATGATTACTGCGGAGAAAAGGACCGTCGGAAGAGGCTCGCATTGGCCGTCAGGGCAGAACGGCAGGGTACACTGAAATATAAGGGTACAATTGCAGAGAAAAGGCAGACGCGGCACGGCATGTGTATATCCCCTTGTGTTGTTTTTTCACGGGCACAACGAGAGTGGGCGTCGACCAATCACGTGGACTCATTGCACGCTGATACAAAGTGTTTTTTACCCGGCTGTGGCCTCGCGTTTTGACCCGGGTGTGCACGCAGGACGGGTGCGTATTGGGGGCCTCAGGGGGGGGGGACCCGTTTGTTTGTGTGACCACGGGTTGGACCCAGCTCCTACCCTACCCGTTGGAAATGCTGTGTGTGAGCGCTAGAAGTGACCATTGTAAAAAGAAATGTTTACAACACCCTTTTGTGACGTTTACCCTTACTATTACCACCGAGTGGGGTATTGGGTAGGGAGGTGTTATCTTGTGTAGTGGTATACGACCGTAAAACGGTGCCCTCCGGCGTGGGCCAATGAGAGCACAGCAGCGGCAGTGTCATGAAAGGGGTGACGCGAGATGAAAGATACAGCTCGAAAATCTAACGTTCACCTTTAAGCATTGCCAAAGCTCGAACACCCCAAGGGAACACCACCTAGGAACCGAGAAAACTTAACATCACATGCGCAGCACTCGAGAGAACTCCCGCACGGTTCAGCCTCCGCTCATGTGTTGAGTAGCGCTCCGACCGGGCCCGGAGATGAAAGAAGCAAACATCAAAATCGGGTCGAGGTTCAGTTTCTTCTTTCATCGCCACTGCTGTCGAGCACAACTTGTGACAAAGAGTTAAAGTATAGGACCCACCGCAAAGCTATGCTTCTTTTCCCTGTTTCCTTGTTTTCGTGAAGCTTGAGCCTGTGTCATAGTCTCTTTTAAGCATTTCTGAACTGCGGACCCGCTTTGCATATTGTTATGCGCCCGACAGCAATTGCTTCAACAGTACATGCGAATCTAGACGTCTCAACCGTCCTCCTCCTCCTCCTCCTCCTCCTCCCCTTCCTGGTCGTCTGCATCCAACCATCATAAAAAATATAAAACAATCAGGCGTCACCCCCCGGCATTGCCAGTACCTGCACATCTGGCCCCCCGCGTACGAGTGCATGTCGGTCCTCGTGCCAAACCTTTGGAACATCCCGTTCTGCGACTTCGGGATCGGCACCATAGACGGCGGGCTTCGCGGGCTCGTCGCCTACGTGATCTCCAGGTGAGACTTTTTTTTTTCTTTATATACCACAATAAATCCTTCTTTATCCATAGATGGAGGGTCTAGGATATACTGGTAAATGAATTCATAGCGTCTTGCTTTATCTGTGCTGAAATCTGTGTGTCGCTCATGGGGGTTTGTGGCCGTTCTTTGCTTGTTTTTTTACTGTACTACGGAGCGTGTTGATTTTCTGTGCTGTGTGGTGATGTCGTCTTGTGTCGTTGTCGGTACCGTTGATTGTGACGGTCGTTGTTGTTGTAAACGTCGTTGTCGCCCTGGTGTGTTGTTTTGCCAGTAGCCACTCGCAGGATTTTGGTTCAAGTAAACATGTTGGATTATGCATGCAATCTAGGAAGTCGGGTTTGGGTTGTTGTGATAGGATCGCATACCCCCTGCTCAATTTTCTCATAAACTTGTTTTCTCGCAAAGGCGGTCCTCTTTCACTTTAACACCCGACGTGGGTAGCATTATTTCACTGTCTTCTTCTCGTACCGACCGACCCCCGCCCAGGGAGTACGGGTGCGGGTATTGCGCGGCGCACTGTGCCGCCCTCGGTACTGTCTGGCGAGGGGACAGCGTCTTCCTCGCGAAGAACATCAAGGCCATGGCGCCCGAGCCAGACCCGGAGGTGTTCACGCCCAAGGAGCTTTCCGCGATCAACATCAGCAAGAAGTTGGGGCCCGTGCCTTCCCGGGTGAGATGCTCAAGAAATTGCAGTAGAGGTCCCTGTTTAGTGCCGGGGTGTGCGCGAAAATTTCACCGGCACTATACCGGGCACCGGTACTATTCAAAGTACAGAACGACTTGATATTCCAATGTGTGCGAGCCGAAAACGCCGGCACTATACCGGCAACCGGCACTATTCAACCGGCACTAAACAGGGACCTATCCTGTATGAAGTACCGGCTACATAGATGGTGCGAGATGCACGAAAACCGTGAAACCGTGAGCCCGTCACAACGATCGGGCTAGGTGTCGTGAGAGGCAATAACCGTGAAACTGTAAAACGTGCCGGCTTGATGGGGTGAGAGGCATAATAACCGTGAAACCGTGAATGCATTACAACATACCGGCTAGATGGCGTGAGAAGCACAACCGTGAAACCGTGAGAGCCCGTCACAAAGTACCGGCTATATTGCGTGCAAGGCCCAAAAACCGCGAACCCGTCAAAACGTATCCGCTAGATGGCGTGGTGTGCCGAGGCTCGTGAACCGTTGTCGCAACTGTGAACCAGTAGCCTTCACGAATTTATTGATGTTGGTTTTAGAAGGGGTTGGGTTCGGGGTTAGGGTTACGAACGCCCCCTCTCTATTTTCACGTTCCATTTTGCGCTTTATTGCCTCGCGAAGACGGTCTCCGCGAACCGAGAGCCCGTCCCGCGTTGCCGTAACGGCTTTTTGGTGTGCCGAGCTTTGTTGTAACCGTGACTTCACTACACGTAAACATTACTGCCAATGGTGTATGTACCGAGGCACGTTCGGCTTTGTTGTGTTGCCTGCCTGCCCTGTCGTTTGCCACCAGGTGATGTATGACGGCATCCGGGGTATGTTGTATCAGTGAAAATCGGTTTGTTTGTTTATCTAGTACTCCGTACGCATTAACCGAAAACCTGCCCTTTCGTGTGCCACCAGATAACGTCTGGAGACATCCGTGATATGTTGCATCAGTTGAACTCGGTTCATTTGTCTGGTTCGCCTTAAACGAAAACCTGCCCTTTTGTTTCGACCAGGTTACGGCAGACGACATCCGTGACATGGCGTCCGTGTTCACGGAGAAAGAACAGGAAGGCGTCATCAATTCAGGCGTCGTCATGGGCTTCCTCAATCGATTCATGTGAGTATCCTTGTTGTTGTTGTTGTTGGCTTTGTCGTTGTGGTGATAGTGGTGTTCATGTCCCAATAATGGCCGTTTGACGCACCCTGTTGTTGCTGTCTGTGTTGTTGAGATAGTGGTGTTCATGTCCCGTTTGTTGCCGTTTGACGCACCCTGTTGTTGCTGTCTGTGTTGTTGAGATAGTGGTGTTCATGTCCCTTTTGTTGCCGTTTGACGCACCCTGTTGTTGCTGTCTGTGTTGTTGAGATAGTGGTGTTCATGTCCCTTTTGTTGCCGTTTGACGCACCCTGTTGTTGCTGTCTGTGTTGTTGAGATAGTGGTGTTCATGTCCCTTTTGTTGCCGTTTGACGCACCCTGTTGTTGCTGTCTCTGTTGTGGTGATAGTGGTGTTCATGTTGACCGTTTGACGTGTTTTTGACGCGTGTGTTGAAGCAGCTGCCGGCATAAATCTGTACGAAGGTAATGGTATTGCTGCATCGTTACATGCACCCTTCCCTGTGTTTCCCGTCGAAGTCAGGTCGAGCCAATCTGTCGTGTTGTATTGATTGTATCATAATCTTTATCATAGTCTATTTGTTATGTAGTTCTTGGTGTGTTCGGTTCTTTTCGAACTGCTGGGTATCTTCGTGTGTAGACGCGATTGCATTTTTTCCCCCCGGTTTTTGTTGTAAAGAGAACCAACCACAAGGAACTATTTTTTTATATGAAGACAACATTAACAACACAAGGAACGTTTCTTAATGTTAAGACAACACCTTCAACAACAACAACCCTTGCGTGACAGGGACACCATCGGGATGACCCTTGAGATGGAGCCGTTGGAGATGGGCATGAAGCAGCTCGCGCCCACAGGCTGGAAGCCCGGGCATTCATACGATCCAGAGGCGGACGCCGAGCTGATGGCGGAGGATCGCGTCGAAGCCGTGAAGAGGGCCGAGAGGAAATCCAAGTCCAACTTCTTGTCCTGTAAGCTCTAGATACTGCTGGTAGCTTATTGCCTTTTCTTTTTGTTGTTGTAGAAAAAAACAAGTCCGGCCTGTGAACTCTAGAAAATGCTGTACTGGGTAAATAGCTCTTTGCTTTGGCTCTTTTGTCTTTAGCTGTTTCCTGTTGGCCGGGACGAAGTCCACGTCCACCTCCTTTTCCTGTACGCTGTTCCTGCTTGCTGTAGCTCCTTTGTTTTGTTCTGAAGTAGCTTTTGGGGGGTCAACGTTACGAGTCAGCTTTTCGCTGTTTCTTTCCCCCCCTCCTGTGCTGAGTACTGTGCATACCATGGTACAGCAGCACTAATATAATAGTGCCCCCTCGGTAGTACCGGTACCCGGTATTTTTATTTTTTTGATGTGTGGCGCCGGTGTTTTCGACGGGCAGACACTACTCAATCTTCCCCACGTACAGAACAACAACAACCGCAGCAGCAGCAGCAGCAAGCAATGTCACATTGTACACATCCACATCCAGTCGTAGTCCCTGCCTTGGTATTGTTGTGGTGTCGGTGTTGTTCGGCGGGCGCAGACGGAGCCTTGTCTGCGTGTTGAGTTTGGTTTTGCTTCCGGCGACAGCAGAGCGAGATTGCCGTTCTAAAACTGACTGTTCTTCTGTTTTTCGAGACACTTATTTGCATATGGTCCTGGACAGACAGTGACGACGTTTTCGGCTCTTTTTGCGGTGGGGTAGTCGAGCTTTGAAACTCGGTCCAGGGGGGGTGGTATCATGTGTCATCCTCCAGTGTTTTGCCCGTGTGTTGCGACAGTCGGATGAGACGTTGAGTTTCTGCCGGCCGACCTCATGGTCAAGCACATGCCCCTTTCTTTCGAAACTCTTAACTCTTTCCTGGACCGATCCTGGACCGATTTTTTTTGCTTCAAAATAGACAAACAAAAAAATAAAAGCTATTTTGTAGGTCGTTTCTTTGTGAGGTGATTTTTTTTTTTTTGAGAGGAAGGATTTCACGGTCCTCCCCTCCCCCCCGTTGTTCTGCCTGTGTGTTTTTATTTCGGTTGACTAGACATCAAGATGATCATCGGCGCTAAGTTGGCGGACAGAGCGAGCCTCAAAAACACTCCAACGGCGGAGCAATCGGTGAGCACGACAACGATCATGGTTCTTCTTGTTTCTTGTTGTGTGTACGTTGACTACTGTTTCCCGCATTTTTCTATTCCAGCAGTTCGGGGGCATATTATCTTTCTAGCGACATGTTTCGTGTGCGTTGAATTGAACACACAGTACATGCTTCCCTCACGTTTCTATTTTAGCAGTTCGAGGGCAGAACACATTTCTATGAACATTCCAAGAATGTGTCTCGGGCGGCGGCGGCGGTACATGCTTAAGGAAAAAGAGCGTTTCCTGAAACGGCCTGCAAAATAGTTCTCGACAAACCCATCACGAGAGAACCTTGGCCGTTGTTTTTGTTCACGCTTCCGTGCGGCGTCACTCACCCACCCGCCTGTCCCCGATGTCGAACCTTGTTGTGATGTCACGCGCGGGTGGATATCGTCTTTCCGACGTGCGGGCTAGGGTAAGAGCTTAATGCCAAGGTGGTTTAGGTGAATGGGTCATCCTTGAAACAAGTTGTGGACCCCCTGCCACCTGTCGTAAGCCGCTGCAGCTGACGACGGCAACGATGACGATTGTGACAGGTGTAGGGCAAAAAGTGTATGTCTACCGCCTTTCCCCTGCCAACCGTCTCGAACCACTACTCTGATGAAGATGATGATGACATGTGTAGCGCAAAAAGTTTGTCTATCGCTTTTTCCCTGGCAACCACAACACTGCTGATGACGATGATGACAGGCGTAGCGCACTCCGTCGCCTTTTCCCTGCCAACCACTTGTTGCACTGCTGCTGATGATGACAGGTAGCACAACAGTGCATGGAACTGGCGGGCTTCGTCCCGTACTACTTGGTGGAGATGAAGCACACCCAGGCCCGTAACGCCTTTGTGTGGGCCTTCACTTTACGGCTGTGCCAAGGCTCCGAGGAGGTGCCGGCCAAGCTCAAGCAGGTGACCACATCTGCAGCAGCTGCAGCTGCAGTAGCAGCAACAGTAGCAGTAGCAGGAGCAACAGCAGCAGTAGAAGAAGAAACACCAGTAGTGCGTTGTTGTGGTCGCCAGTCTCTTGATTTGAAGCTCTCCCATAGAGGGTGCTTGTGACGACCTGTCGCTGCCGTGCTTTCCTTCGAGTTGTCTCGGTCGACTTCAACCTTCAGCCAGAAAAGAGCGGTTGCCGCTTCTTTCTAACGTCCCATTCACTTCTCTTCTGTTGTTTACTCCCCATTCTTTTCCCCACCGACAGAGGATCCCCCCAGGCCACCCATATCTCTATTCGTACGCGCAGGACGACTTATTTTCCTGGCAGGCTTTCGTTTTTTCATTTTTTCTCTACGATCCTTTACCGTTTCGGCTTTGTTACTCGTCTCTACGTATCCCCCCCCAAACCAAGAGTTACCCCGCCCAACATCGATTGTGCCAGGCCGCATGGTCACGAGTACATCCCCGCCCCCCCGGTGTTTGCCATCGGGGTTGGGTTTTCGTCGCTTGGCAA